CAATTGCAAAATTGTTGTTGTTGTTGGTGGTGGTGGTGGTGGTTGCTGCAGTAACCACCACGGTTCGGCTGTGTAGTTCGTGGAAACCCGGCTCCAGACGCGCCGGCTAGTGGAGCCTTGATCGTGCAGCTTTTGTGAACTGCCGCATCCCAATTCCCGGACCTCGCATGAGCCAAAATCTGCAGTAACTGGAGATAGGCGGTGGGGTTCCATCAGTGCGCACGGTGGGAGGAGTACTGCCGGAACTTGTTGCGAGAAAGTCTTTAGTGGATGGAGAGCCGACTGTGCATCAGTGATTTTCTCCATCCTATGCTTTTATGTTTGCAAAAGGACCTGCAGCACAACGCTAGTCAAGGAGCAATTTCAATCCTAAGAAGTTGGGTGCCGCGAAAGAAGCTTTCGAGACGACTTGTCTCTTTTCGATTTTTCGTCTCTGCGAGCGCTGTCTCACAAGTAGGACTTGGATTGCCTGAGCTTCTGGGGCAGCCTACTTCGCAATGTACACCTTCGAACACGGGCAGAGTTGTCTGCCACCTGCTGCAACACAACCAGTGCATCGAATTCCTCCGACACCGTCGAAAGGCCATGGCACGGCACCGCTGCAAAACAGCCAACGCTTGGGAACGAAACGCACGCAGGACAGGCTTCGTGCCTGACTCGTGGGCCTTTTAGAGTTGTGAGCCGCAGCTTTGCTGTAAAGGTTTATATAACCCGACAACAGCAAAGAGAGCTGCTTCCTTGAAGCAAGTGTCCAAGAGATGCCACAGCATTGTAATTGTACATTGTGCAGTGGTGCTTCGATTTAACCCGGCCTCCCTCATTGTTTTCTTTACCTACATAGGCTCATTTTCCGTTGTTGTTGTTGTTGCTACTGCTGCTGCTGTTGTTATTGCTGTTGTGCTGACTATGGCTATTTGACCTTCATCATGCCCAGTTCGTAGTTTGGCATTTCTGGTAGAGGGTCGCACGCGCGTTCATTGTGAGTTGTTGTTGCCCGTGGTGATGATGACGACGATGGGAGCTTTAGCAGAGTAGACAGGCAAAATGCAAAATCATGTCAATGATCGTTCGTTGAGCACCAAGCCCGTACAGGAACATCGAAGAAAATGATCACCAATCATGGAATGAAGGTCCAACTCGCTCACCAAACCGAAACCTGCCCAGAGCCATCCGGAACATGTGTCCCAGCTGGGCGCATGCAAGCAACCAGGTCATAGCAGTACAGGACATTGTGAGAAAAGGTGAATTGTTGAGGCAGGCCTTGCCTTCCCCTTTCCTGCAGGTTGAGGTGCCAGTCATAGGAGGCCATGCCGGCATGACCATCCTGCCGGTCTTCTCGCAAGATCGCCACGGATCGCGGATTGATCCCGCCAAAATTCCAGACCTGGACAGGAAGACGCAAGATGCAGGGACCGAGGTCGTGAATGCCAAGAACGGAAAGGGCTCGGCCACCCTCTCCATGGCCTACGCTGGAGCACGCCTTGGCCGGGCTGTTCTGGCTGGCATGTCAGGGCAAGCTGCTGTGGAATGTGCATACATCAAATCAGATGTGACCGAGCTGGATTACTTTGCTTCCAGAATTCAGTTTGGCAGAGCGGGCGTGACTCGTGCGCTTCCTATTGGAAATCTCAGCGCGCATGACACTCTGCTGATCTAGCTCAATCTAGTGACTCTAGTGGGACACTCGTTCAGCTCTTTTCCTGAAGCTCTCAAGCTGACTTCAGTTCAGGAGCAAAAGCGGCTGGCAGAAGCTAAAGCGCCATATCTGCACGAATACCGGGTGGTTTGCTGCCTCGGTGTGTAGTGGTTTGCTTCACCGAGCTGATGGAAGATTCCCTTGCCAGGCTCAGTTGAAGAGCGAAATCGCTACCGGCAAGAAGTACGCCCAACAGACATCTTTGGCCATGAAGTAGCAGAGGCACCACTGCCCCGGGTTCGTGGCATGGTCCGTTCACTGCTCTCAAGGGTGCCATACGATTTCTGCTGCCTGGAAAGGTGGCCAAAGCTGTAATCCAGTGTTCTCATTTCTGTGCCACAATGTGGGCTCAGCATTCATTTTCGTCTATGTATTATCATGCCAGCAGTTCAACTGTTGGCCGGTCTCACCCCGACAGCTTCTTGCTTAGATTCTTAAAACAGTGGCGACTCAGTTGATTTGGCTGGACAGCCCACAAAACCGACGCTTAAGGGCACGGCTGGCATGTCACGCACATCAAAATCAGGAGAGGTTGCGCGTGCTGCTCCTCTACCATCTCTGCTACTTGGTCATGATCTGCTTAGAGCTTGTCGTCGGATTGATAAAGGCCTGGCTGGGGACAGCTCTTGGGGTTCCTTGCGGTTCTCCCCTTGCACAGGGCTGTCAAGAACTTGAAATGCTCCAAAAGCTTCACCCACAGAATGCAATTCAGCCGCAGCCTGAGCTGATGCCAAATTCTGCTTTGCAGACTCTGCACTCTGCACAGCCTCTTTTGTCCTTGTTGGTGACGGGTTTGTGGAGGAAAATGAGCTGCGGCACCTTCCAGGTCCCTTTTTCTGAGCCAGTCACGGAGTCCCAAGTGCCTTGCTCCTTCCCCGGCAAAGCCTGCGGCGTTGTGCCAGGTGCATATTTTTGCCATGTTCCTCGTGCAGGGAGGCACGGCAGTTTGGGGCGGCGGTACCACGAGTCAACAGACACTGCCTGTCCTGCCAGCCATTATGGGCTACTTTGCCTTCATCATATGGAGTCTCATTGTTCGGATCGAGGTGCCTTTAGCTTCACAGATTCCAAGGAACTTGAATGTGTTTTGCACTTCTGCGAGGCAGGAGAAATGGGACAGCCATCACTGCTGAGGGATCAGGAGAGTGATTCATTTCCTTGTTTTCTGGTGGGCGGTTGATTGATAGGAGCTCGCAGAGAGGGCTGGAGCTCTTGGCGATCCCTGGTTCCTTGCCAGATGACATGTTGTCACCAGCTGGTTGTGTCTGCACGTGGAGCTGCCAGGCTATTTGTGAATGCACCTGGGAGCGACCCGAATAGTCTCCTGCGACCAAACGTAAGCCTCTGAGCGGCAGTCGCCTGGAAAAGAGTTCACGTGCACGGGTCGAAGATGCCAAGGAGTTCAGGGGTCACGGCCCAGCCCGGGCCCAAGAGCCGACGCCGGTGGTGAGCTGAGAGGCCCACATGCAAAGCTGGCTATTTTGTTCGATACATGGCATGCGGTTAACCATGGTTAACCTAGCGAAGAGAAGTGCCATGTGTGTGTAGATTGTGCATCAGCCAAAATCATCCCCAAACGTAAGAAAGCATATAAACAGAGACAGAGAGCCCCTGCATAGAGAGAGAGAGAGAGGGTAATGCCCTACTTCAGCCCGCCTTACTTACTTACACTACGACTTGGCCAGGGACCCCAGACATCATCCTTTCTCTTGCATTTGCTTGTGTGTTACGAGTGCTGTTCAGATGTTACCCTCGTCGTCCCAACAGGCCTCTAAGAATCAAGTACAGGGTGCCTTTTCTGGCCAGGACTACGTAGTGGAGGCTTGACCCTTTCGAGCTTTGTTTAGTGGCTGGGCTTTTGAACCGCTTGAGGGTTTGGTTTGCTTTATAGTCGCTTGGCAGTCAAGCCCCACCACTGGGCCTCCAAAGGGAAGCAGCCGTTTTTGGGGATTCCCCCTAGCCGTTTTCAGGTGTTTGTAGGGTGGTTTTGGCATTTGCCTTCTTACGAGGCTGATTTCCCTTTGTTGTAGTGCGAGCGATCTCCCCAACAGTAGGCGAATCCGCCTTGTGGAGAGAGAGTTTTTCCGCTATTCGCCCACCGCACACGTCGGGGGCGCCTGATGGCGCGCGGGCGGGGGAGTTCGCTCTCCTGCCCATATCCCTCACGAAAGAAAGGGTAATCCCTTTCTCTTTACCGAAAGAAAGAGGGATGGGCACACGCGCGCGCGGGGGCAGGGGGGTTCTCCCCTGCTGTCCTCAGCCCTGGCGAAAGGAAGAGCGAACACATTGAGACAGACAGACGGATGGACGAACAGATAGTCTAGGCCGAAAGCAGGGGCTGTGCAACA